TAAAAAATTTTTGTAGACATTCCACAAATAATTTTTTTTGGGATCTGATTCCAACCTGATTTTTCCAGCGTACTTGCAGATTGCAGCCCCTCATGGTTATTGTAATAATACCTTTCTTACACTCCTTTTCTATCTCCTATTTTCTGCCCCACATCCTGAGTACTGCTAGGTGGTCTGTACATAACTCCCAGCAGGGTCCTTTTTTTTTTGGAGCTCTTCAATTCTACCCATACAGATTCTACACCTTCCAACCCTACATTGCTTGCTATCGATTTAATTCTAATTTTTACTAACAGGGCAATCCTTCCCCCTGTGCCCATCTGCCTGTCCTTTCCATCGGATGCATATCCTTGGATATTTAGTTCCCAATCTTGATCTCCTTACAGCCATGACTCTGTGATGCCTACAACATTGTACCCACCAATTTCAACCTGCACTACAAGCTCATTTACCTTGTTTCATATATGTCTATTTAACTACAAAACCCTCAGTCCTTTTTGACCACCCTTTTCTCCTAGTTGTCTTCTTATCTGCTGTGTCTAAAGTTAGATTTCTGACCCTTTCCATACTGTGTCCTTGGGCCTTGATGTACCTCAATTTGCACCACAGGTAAATCTAACCTATAACGACGGCACCTAAATGGACCACGACAAACCGGATCTTTCCCCTCCCATTCCAAGTTCTTCTGTAGCCCTGATGAAATATCATGAACTAGTACCAGACAGGCAACACAGCCTTGGAGACTTTCAATCCTGGCCACATAAAACAGTATCTACTCCCTGACTAGACAATCCCCATTACAACTACACTTCTCTTTCCTCCCCTGTCTTGAATGGCTCCCTGTACCATGGTGCTAGTCAGTTTTATAATCCTCCCTACAGCCCCGCTCTTGTCCACACAGTAAGCAAGAATCTCAAACCTGTTAGACAAGGCCAAGGCTCCTTCATTACTACCTCTTGGATCCCCCTGCCTGCCTCCCTCACAATCACACCCTCCTATGCCTTATCACTGAATCAATTCAAGATAGTTAATGTAAGGAGTGTGACTGTGTCCTTAAACAGTGTCCAGGTAACTCTCCCCCTCCCAGATGTGTTGCAGTGTTTGAAGCTCGGACTCCAGCTCATCAAGTTGAGCTGGAGTTCCTCAAACAACCAACACTTGCTACAGATCTGATCCTTTTTTATGAACCACAATGGGGTCCACCAGCTCTCATATCATGCAGGTACAAGGTATTGTCTAGCCCTCACTCAGGTTGTGCCTTTCTCCATCCTGATCGTGCAAAGCTTACTGATGAAAGCCATGAGACTCACATGGTAGTGACAAAAAATGTCTTTGTGGTAATAAACATTATCTGAGTCACCTTGAACCATCTGTTCTGTCTGCGCATACCCACTAACTTGAGCAGATTTGCACTACTAGAAGGTACATATGGGTTGTATCACATTCTTTCCTCAGAACACCAGTTCCTCTTGGGACTGTGGTATCTTCTCATTGAATACCTGATGCATCTCTGGCAATGTCCATGTGACAGATAGTAAAATCAATTAGTGCAGAAGATGACATGCTTTCATACCCTCGTATCTTGCCAAATAAACTTATAGAGGTACACAAGCAAAATGCTATGGATGCTGGAAATGAAATAAAACCTGAAAATGCTGGGAATATTCAGGTCTGTCAGCACCTGTGGGGAGAGAAACAGCAAATGACCTTACATCAGAACTAGGTTTTCAAGGGGCAAGATATATTAATGTTACTGCACTTGCAATCCAAAGGCCCAGACCAATGCTCCAGGGACACCAGTTTCAAATCAACTGAGGCAGTCTGGGGAATTTTGTTATTAAATATGGAATAAAATGCTAGTGAGATTGATAATGATCATGAAACTGTCAAATTGTAGAAAATAATCTGGTTCATTAATGTTCTCCATGGGCGAAAACCTACCAACTTTACCCAGTCCAGCCTACTTGAGAATCCAGATACATAGCAACATGATTGACTTTTAACTGCCCTCTGAAATGGTGTAGCAAGACATTTAATTTCATCAGCAAAACAAATATACCAACATCACATTGAATTGCAGAGGTTCAAGGCAATGAACTACCTGTACACAAGGGAACTAAGGACAGGTAATAAATGATGAATGCCGTTCACACTCCAGGAATGTATAGAGAGAGTTGACAGGGTGGAGTGTACTGGAGAAGAGAGATAAATAACCAAAGTGAATGTGTGATAGGGTGGAGGACAGGAAAATTAAATGACAAAAGTTCTGTGGCCCACGGCTAAAAACGCAAAAAGGATGTGTCTAGATATGGGAATGGCAAGATCCCAAATAACTATCTGAAAGAAAAGTGAAGGAATAGGGAATGAAAACAAACGAGCAAATTAAAAAAAAAGTGCTGTAGTTACAATCTAAACTTATTGAACTCTGAACTGTAACCAGAAAGCTATAAAGTGCCCAATCAAAAGATAGGATGCACAACCAAAGATATATTTCCCTTCCCACCCCTATCTGCCTTTCATAGGGACTGCTCTCACTGTGACTCGTTTGTCCGCTCCACATTCCCCACTAGCCCCACCACCCCTGGCACTGTTCCCTGCAACCACAGGAAGTGCTACACCTGCCCCTACATCTCCCCCCTCACCTCCATCCAAGGAACCAAAAAAACCTTTCACATCAGACAGAGGTTCACCTGCACATCCGCCGGTGTGGTCTATTGCATCTACTGCTCCCGATTGTGGCCTCCTCTACATTGGTGAGACCAAATGGAGGCTCGGAGACCACTTTGTAGAGTACCTGCACTCTGTTCACGACAAACGACAACATCTTCCAATTGCGAATCATTTCAACTCCCCGTCCCACTCCCTGGGTGACATGTCCATCCTGGGCCTCCTAGTGTCACAATGATGACACCTGCAAACTGGAAGAGCAACACCTTTTATGTGGTGTTGGGAGCCCACAACCCAATGGTCTCAATGTGGACTTTACCAGTTTCAAAATCTCCCCACCCCCGGCCTCATCCCATGACCAACCCTCCCTCTCATCCCCCCCGCTCCTTGACCTGACACATGTCCATCTTCTTTCCCACTTATCCACTACTCCCACCTCACTGACTAATCCCCACCACTGCCTACCTGCACTCCCCTATTACCGTCCCACCTACCTTCCCCAGCCCCACCCCTCTCTATTTATTTCGGAGCTCCCTTCCCCCGCCCCCATTTCTGAAGAAAACCCGAAACGTCAACTTTCCTGCTCCTCTGATGCTGCGTGGCCTGCTGTACTCCTCCAGCTCCACACTGTGTTATAGGATGCTATCCATGTTCAACTGGCATTGAGCTTCATAGGAACTCTGCAGCAAATCAAGGACAGAAAGCTGAAAGTGGGAGAAAGTTAAAGAACTAAAATGACAGCTGTAAATTTTGGTCATGACTGTGTCCTGAATAGATAGGTTCATCCAGTTTAGTGTTGGTAATCACAATGTAGAACAGACCACATTGTGAACGGCAAAGCATACAAAAATGAACAAAATATCAGTAAATTATTGCTCGGAGAACAGTTTGGCTCTTTGGACAGTGAGAAGGGAGGAGGTTAAAGTGGAGATTTTGCATGCAGAAAGCCAGTTCCGACTAAGGCTGACTCCATGATTACATCTGGCAGCAGCATATATTAAACTGCAGAATAAAATCAAACTCTGGTAGCATATTGTCCTCATTACCTACTGTAGGATGCACACAAAGCATTGGAATACTCCCACCAAACTGAACTCGAGATCCACTTGAGAATTCAATGACAAGGCCCTTTGTTGTGTGAACAGTATGGAAAGCACCTCCAGAAAATTCCACTTAGATGGACAGGCCATTTCTCCTTCATAGATTATGACTGAATTACCATGCAAATATTCCACTGGGAAGTTGCACAGGACAAATGACATCCAGGTGGTCAGTAATAAACACAAAGACACTGCAGGAAAATCCTTAAACTTCTACATTAAAGATCACCTCTTTTTAGAAAAGCAGTGGAGTTGGACAGACCCAAATGGATGAACGAACTGAAATTTGGCTCCTGAGAAGGGGCCATTTGGCTCTAGAAGTTGTTCCACCATTCAATAAGATCATGGTTGATCTGGTTAAGATCTCAGCTTAATTCTTCTGTTGGCACCCATTAATTCTAGATTCCCTTGTCTATCCTACCGTTGACATAAGACTCTCTCATCTATAATTTCCTACTTCATCTCTACCACCCTTCTTGAAAAGTGGAACCACATGAGCAGTTCTCTGGCTCTTCCCCATTGGCCAGAGAGGAATTCAAAATTTGTATCAGAGCCCCTGTAATTTCCTGCCTCATCTCACACAGCAGCCTGGGATGCAATTCATCTGGGCCAGGGGATTAGTCTGTTCTTAAGATGACACTAAACGTGGAAGAGTTATAAACTTGGAGGAAGAATGGGTGAAACTCCAAAAGGATATGGACAAATTGGTGAAGTGGGTGGACAGGTGGCAGAT